ATCAAGTTACAACCTAAGATCTATGACCATATTATGTTAACTGTTCGTATTTCGTTCATTCCATCGGTATGCTCCCAGGTACCTGTAATTGTGATCCGTTTGCCAGAACCAAGGGGTCTTTCTGTAGAAACCTCCACGAACAATCGTCGTTTTTTGATGGTTTTTCCGCTTCTCACAGCTGCTCTTTCCACACCTCCGGATATCTGGTGCCAAATTGTCGCCCCTTTCCTTATTTCTTTGATAATAGAGTTGGCTATCTTTGTGGCATCGATTGTACAAGTTCGTGAAGAGGGCTGGACGAGTGGAATGAGGGAAAGCGGCTCGATCGACAAAAAAGAAGAGTAGCCTCCCTAGAACCTGGCAAAGTCATTATCAATGAATTCCCGAGCAATTCTCAACCAACATATGCGATTCATTCCCGTAAAGATTATAACACACAAGAAGACTCCTTACCGCTCCGTGGGGAGCGGGATGAGTGATACATCTGGCGAGCGCCGGTGAAGAACGCAAGCAAAGCTGGAGCTCGGGTATTGATATATTCCATCAAGAGAAAGGAGGCAGACTGGTAAGAAGGCCGACCACATAGGGGGGGCGAACCGAAAAACTCAGCTTTTCGGAGCGGACCAATCTTCCGTGCCGCCCCCCCCCTTACTCTCTCTCTATAAAAAAGCCTGCGGGAAGCGCGAAGAGCTAAGCCACTAATGTCGTGGCGAAGGTTAGACCTCATAAAGTCAGCGAAGCTAAGGTTTCGTATGTGTTATATCCTTTCGATCGAGCGAGAACTTATAAGGAAGGCCTTCATTGCCCTTTGAAAAAAGTAAAAAAAAAAGAGCGCTAGGGAAGAGAGAAAGTAGCAGAAGTGCTTCTAGATCTCATGGAATAAGGCAGAATTTCTAACAAAACTTTCCACCTCTTGCTTTCATAGAAAAAAGAATTTAGGAGATGAAATCCCGATTACATTACTGCAGGCCAAAATTTTATTTGAAAGAGCAAGCCAGAGAAAAGAAGCGTTTAGATAATACCTTTTCTCCGAATCTCATCTACTGAAAAAGGGAGCCCCCTTGATCACCTGAAGAGATTTTTAGGCAGAATTGGCATAATTATTACCGTGAGGATTGAGCTGCCAAAAGAGATTATCCTCCTTTGGGCTGGAAGAGAAGATTTATGCAGTCCATAGAAAAATAAAAAGAATAAAGTATTCTGAAGCCAAATGCTCTTGGATGGGTAGTTGAATAGGGGGATAAATCCTTTTTTCTCCTTTATATTGAATGTAGTCAATCACTTTGAGGTCATGAGAACAAAGAGTCATAGAGATGTGAGAAGTTTTGCTTTCGCTATCGACTGACCGTCCTGTTAGCAGTGCTATACTAGATTGGCACCCTAACTGGTACCTATACAGCTACTCCTTGTCAGTTGCTATATTTTTTCACCTTGAGGCTGAGAGGTTAACTCCTTCCACTCTCAACCGCCTTTGCTTATCTTACTAGTAGCTCTATCTATTGGTACCAGCCAGGGAACTCCCTCTTTGCGAGCTACTTACTTTATCTGAACCCTCTACCGACAGATGCGCGAATTGCACTGGTCATTGTGCGGAATGCCCTCTAAGCCAGTCAGTCAATGGAGGGACCGGGGCGCTAGGTATTTTCTTTCTTCTGGCCGTAGGTGTGATCAATGCCATTGAGCTTCGGTACTCTAAAATAGTAGTCGGAATTCGCTTCTGAGTGAGCTTCCTTCCTTATGCTCTGGTCTGACCTTCACGAACAGCTTTCTTTCAGCTACCAACTTCAAAGCTTGATCTCATCTCTCTTCTTTTGAAAGTTTAGTACTATTATTGTTGGCATGGAAGGAGTTCATCTTGAATTGCCAGTACAGTGATTGGAGGTCTTCCTCACCTGTTCTAGTGACATAGGCCCATCCGGTCGAGAGAAGAGACTTGAGATTAGCCACTAGGTGAAGTACCAAGGAGAGGATCGGCTTCAGCCATAACCAATACGGAGGGATTGACATAGTAAAGGAGGCTAAACAAAGCTATCAAAGGGATGTGCCCAGGCTCGGAATATCCTTCTTTCGTACCCAAGAGTAGCCCTATTTCTAATAGGAGCAATTCAAGCATTAATTAGTACTACCTCAGATCTAAAAGGAAAGGAAGGAGAATAAGGGAAGGTGCCAAGTAGCTGATTGCACATTACTAAGGCAAGGAATAAGACGTCTGAGAAGGGATGCCGAAAAAAGGCTTCAATTGTTTCTGGTGCAAAGTCAGTAGTACTAGGGCCTTCGAGTTGGAATTTCCAACTATAAACAAGTGTAGCGAAGTCACCTCCATTCTCGATTTCTATTGCGACAGAGGGAGGTATCATAATAGAGTAAAAATCACGATTAGAGTCAGTCCGGATAAAAGGAAGAATCCAATCTCCTTCTTCCTGATCTTATTGGCCTTACAGCGGGCCTAAGAGCAAGGAAGTCTCAACTCCCCAATCCCCCAGGGTGAGGGGTGAACCTTCTGTCTGATTCAATCTCATCTATTGCTGCTTTCGAATCGGCTGAAAGAGTATTTTGATGTCACTTAGGAGAAGTATAGGGAAGTGTGCCTGAGTCTTCTATAATAAGTAGTTGTGACTCGGTCTAGCTAGGACAGAGCCATCCTAAAGAGACTTTCTTCTGTTCTAGGTTTCCACAAAGCGGTATCAGGGTATGAGAACGCCTTTCTCCTATATATAATCAAGTCTTTGGTTTAGATCAATCAATCCTCAATCCGGGCTCAATGACCGGAATGAATGGCTTTCTCCTGTCTCCTCATGGATCCAACTATTAGGTTCGTGGGTTTGTGGTCCGTGCCTAAAGCAACTCTTTTCCATTCGCGAACGTTTAAGAAGTCATCTCCTGATTCGTTGATCTATTGAGCTAAGGCAGCTCTGCATATAGTGTTTTAGACTCATACTTCATCGCCGCCTGGTCCTTTCGAACCTTAATCTTAAGAAATTCCTGAACGAGAAAGCGGTATGTATGGTTGGCGTATGCCTGGAAACTAGTCCAGAATGATATCATCAACTGCACGATAGACCATGAGTAAGCACTTTTGACAGCAAGAGAAGAGTCCTCCTCCTCACAAGGACCGACTCCTTTAGGTGCGAGGTGCGATCAACCGCGAAAAGTCAGTAATAAAGAATCCGCTCTCCGGTAAGCGAAGGAAAGCAGGTCAAAGCCTGCCAAGGCGTCAAGGCAGTTCGACAAAGGCAGAAAGAGTCTCCGTCCTGAACACAGAAGGAAGGCGGGTTTGTCAATGCTTGAACTGATTGATCTAAGTGAGCTACGAGGTTAGTCTTCTAGGATCAACTTGCTTCAAAGTGCCCATTAATGATTTGTTAATTTCAGGAATGATCCTATCAGTGATTATGTACTAGGCTTATCTAATGAATTGAGTCTTCCAAGAAAGGTTTCTAATGAATCTGCTAATTGAGGTTCTAGATTCGTTCAAAAGGCAGAAAGGAATAGGCTAAGGGCCGTACCTTAATGATCCCTAACCATATTGATGTTCCTGAGTTCTAGTCTTTCTGGTAGCCAATGATCTAAGGGAGCTAGCAGTGCAAAGATACTCAAAAGTGGTACGCGCGCATAAAAAAGCGGTTGGACGGTGTCTTTCTCTGTTTTGTTCCTTCCTCGGCAAGCTTGGGAGTTTCCTGATGTAAGCTCCCTGGGTACGGTTTCGGAGTTTATGTAAATGCCCTATCTTCAAAGGAAGCTGCTGACTTAAGGTATCCCCTGATCCGAGGGTGAGCTAGAATTGCGTATGGTGAAGAGGAAAGGAAGAAGTCATTGTAAAGGAAGACGACATTTACCATTTCCGCTGCCTGCCTAAAGGCTTATTGGTAGCTCTTAGGTTCTCTGTCAGTAGAGTGATTGCCAAAACCTAGGTATGTTTTCGGAGAATAATAAGAAGAGACGGTTGTAGCTTTTAGAGACTATCCTCTGCAGCTGTAGCTACGTGGAAGCCAGCTGCTTAAAGACAGGCCCCCTAACCATTCCGCTATTCCTGCCCTAAAGCAAGGGAATCCGCTCTGACCCACCACCCTGGTAGGAATTGCCAGATTTACAGTTTCTGAATCCTTGTAATACAAGTTCTTTCCTCTAACGATGGCTACGAACTACGCGAACTGAACTGTCAAGGCTTTCAAACCAAGACTGAGAAAGCTCAATCAATAAAGAGTATTTTAGTGGAATGGCTTAACTTACTCCCCATACGAGACCGGAAAGGAAGCTAGCGAACCTAGGGTCAACACCAAGGTAGGGGCAAAAGGGAAAAGAACGATGTTTGATGTGAACGGAAGCAAGCATTTCGCTAAGAAAGCAAAACAGGAAGCGGCGATAGCAAACATTACCCTCACTCAGAACAATATGCTCTTGGGAGACATGAAGCACAATCAACCTCTCTACCTTAAGACTTCTAACATGGTCGATTCTAGATAGAGCACGGTAACCCCCAACCCCCTACTCTACAAAACAAAGAGTGGAAAATCTCTTCATAGGGTACTGTAGCTGTACAGCCATAGTACCATAGGGATGGTGAGAGTTCATAAGAGCCCGAATTTAGATAGGTGAAAGATCCTTACTCAAATTACGAACCCTGAACCTCTTTGCGAATTCACAGCTGAACCTTGATGGGAAATCATAGATTTCTGATAGGAAAGAAAAAGCCCAATTACCCAAAATTCTTTCATATACACGAGCGTCCTCCTACATTGTCCCCTAGTACAGCATACTTAAGAAAGCGGTTTCCAGGGTCAACCTGTTTAACTGCATGCCAGACCACTAAGTGATGAGACCGTGCAAACAAAGGCAACGAGGAGCGCTAGCCGGAACTGGACAATGGGTGGGTGTCCAACAAACATTCCTTAGCTAAGAAGGATTCATTCACCGCAGCTTCTCTTACTAGCAGATGAAACTAGCAACATCACATCATATAGAATACCGATTGACAGGCATTCAAGTCTATCTTATAGTTTATGTTGATGATCTCATTGTTTCCGCGAGCGCATCCTTCATTTCCAAGCTTTATTTCTATCGTAATTTTTCCATCTGGGCGCCTCGCCTATTCATTCTTTTTTGGGGTGTATAAAGCCACGGAGCGATTCAGGCATCTATCTTATTGTATTGACGCAATTGGAAGATCAGGATTTCTCCCTGCCGCTCAAGCGGGATCAGATCGGGCTTTAGCGAGAACAGCTGTAATTGAATCGGGAACGGAAAGACTTCACTTCAACTCAATAAATGACGTCTACTTCGTAAGTGCTAAGGCAAAATATATCACCGAAAGGAAAGGTGATAGGGGAGCCTAGCCATTTCACTCTACCCGAGTAATAAAGTGGAAACCCCCCTCACGATCGATTAAAAGGAAAGTCGCCCAGAGATATTTGTTCAAATCCAATTCGTGAAGACAGAGTAAATTCAACAAATCTAAGGAAGCAAGTCCTAGGCCTCACTATCTATCAATCAAGAAGGTAAAGGAGAGAAGGTTTGATTGAAAGTAGTACGTCTGCAGGGATCTGTCGTTAACGATTTGACCGGGACACATCCAATTGAAAGTCTAATCCCAACCTCTTTGGAAGGAGCTCCAAAAAAGACTTGACTTCAGAGCGGGGAATCTTCCTACAAGTGAGCACCAAGTCAAATGTATTCAAAAAGGGCTATACCTCTGCCTAGACAAAGAGGACTTTAAGACAGCCTCGTAGGAGACATTGGATGTAACCAGCCTTCAAAGGCGGAGGAGTAAAAAGCAACTTTCGATTCAAATTAGAGAAATGCTGAGCTTTATCCGAAAAAATTAATTAAGGTATTATTATAGCCTTCTAAATAGTCAGAGTGGGAACTCAAAAGTAAGAACTCTTAACCATCATTCCTTAACTCTAAAGGGCGTGAATGTGTAGATCAAGGAAGAAGGGTGGGATAGCGCCCGATTGATTGAGCGTCTTACAGCCCGTCATGCAAGCTAGCAAAGCCAGCGCAGAAGCAGCCCCCGGATCCACACAGGGTACTTCAAAGGAGGTTATCTTTAACCTACTGCTCAACAATTCCAAATCGAAATTGGAAATCTTTATTGGACCGTGATAGCCAGCTAAAACTTAACAGGGTTGAAGCATCTTCTTGGAATCACTAAGGAAGTAGGAAAGGATCCAGGGTTGCCTGAGGCCCTGAGAGCCAGGATGCTTGCTCTTGAAGATGAAGTAAACATGGTCATGGGCCAATATCTCGGTGCTGTTGAAGGTATGAATGAACACTTTACCCTAATTGGTTGGGGGTGGGCGGGAGCTTAGTAGTTGCTTAGTCGTTCAAAAGTCAGACTGTCGTAAGCCCGACACTATTCTATTTACTCTCTCAAATGAGGGGCTGGTTTATTTTGCTATAGGGGCCATCTCCTGTCATCCCTTACCTATGGTTCAGGAAAGGGATTGACCGGAATGATTGCAACGAGACACACCAACACCACTACTTAGAGGTGGAAAGGGGGATAAGCTCGACAAAGACTTCGAAGGAAAGGAGGTAACCAGCTACTAGACCGAAAGGAAGGGGGTTTACCAACTGATCAATAAGTAGTTGAGGGGGGAACTGGTCCTACTACTGAGCCAGGATCAAACTCTTCCTTTCCGGTTACATTGGCTTGGCCTTTTGGACAAGCAGATAGCACATGACCAAAAGTTTTTACACCCATGAGCTAAGGCACCACCCTTCTTTCCGACCCGGATTGGAAGAATTTTCCACATACTGAGGTTTTGGGTCTTCATGAGTAGTTCTTGTCGACGATCCCTTGAAAAAAGTCCTTTGTTGAGCCGGCTTTCGCCCCTGACAAAGGACTTTCCCTGGGTTGGGACTCTTTGGACAGGACTAGTTGCTTCGATTCCACTCATGTCAGCTCATAACTTCGCTCCTCGATCGCTTTATCTTTCTAGTGATCTAGTGATGCGGGAAGGGAATGATAATTAGACTCCTATAGCAGTTCGGGAGCATCGGCATCTATTTGGTAGAATATAACGACCTGATCTCTTTGCTTTCGATGGCTGCTCGGGGCTGAAACATAGTGGAAATGCGAATATGATCGATCCCGGCTCATAAGAAGTACGGAGGTTCTTGTAAGTTGGGTCAGCGGTTCCAGTGACTCAAGGAATAGGGCATTTTGGCACTGTTGAAGTGATTGGCGGAAATGCCCTTGAGACGAGAATCCCGTTGAAATGGAAAGTCCTTGGTCTACATACATTAGTAGTAGGTTACGCTCCTATTATTGAAAAGGAGTTATCCTCCTCAAAATCCTTCCCCCCTTGGTCGAGTTGGCTTAAGCCCGAATCCATCCTTACGGAAAAAGGGCGGGATATCGGCTACGAGAGAGAGTCCTTGTTGTTCACCTCCGCCTCCCGACGCTGCTGACCCCTACCGGGACCTTTTTCCTTTATTCGCTACAAGACTGGTCCAAAATTCTAGTTCGTTGCACTCACCCTTCGTTTCTGTTAATCATTCATGACCCCTGAATGGAAGATAAAAGACTTTACTAAGCAAGCTGTCTGTCGGTCCCCGTTGGTTAATTGTGTCAACAGAGGCAAGGAGTACCGCTGGACTATCCCACTAGCGATCCTACTTCAACGACCTTCTCGTAATACGTAAAAAAAGTATCCCGATCCTGTAGGAGTGACAGCCGTAGTGGAGATCGATGAAGATCTTTATTCTTAAAAGAAAGGGCAAGCACCGAAACACAGGAATGATCAAAGAGAGGCCTCAGCTGACGCTAATAAAGCCAAAGAGCAAGAAGGAGGTGATGATGTGATTCCTTATGTACCTGTGTCTGTGTCGCTTGACAAGTATACCTATTAATCAGTTGACCTCTCTCTATTTGTGTTTTCTTCTAGGTCGGCTGACCCTGGTCTTCTTTGAGTTTATGATATTCCCCGCTCGTCCGAGCTTTTGTAGGCCGAAGCAAATGCTTAGATGAGAAGAAGTCAGAGCAAAAGTCAAAACAAGAAGGACAAAGAAGTCTCTTCCACTCCTCTAGAGGTTGAGGATGAGGAAGTGATGGGGACGACGATGCTCGTGCAAGATAAGATGACGACTGGCTGACTTACCGAACGGACGGACACTTTGATCTTGATCGTGCAATCTAAGTCGCAATGAAGGACTATCGTCAATGCGGCTGGAGCCGCTAGATCCCACAGCAGCGATCTTCAAACTGATAAACCAACCTTTCACTTCTCATATGGGGAATCATCCACATGAGGACCAGAAGACGGCATTCTAAGGCTATATAGAGCCCTTATCCAAGAAATGAGCTATCTTGCTTAGCATACCTCACCAAAGCTCTTCAAATCAATCTCCTCGGTACTTGAACTTGATTCTTTAAAGCCGGGAACTCCATTCAATTAGCCGGGCATAAGCTCTCCCCTTGCTTTGCTCATTTTCTCTTGATACGCTTACCTTGCCCGTTTAGGTTTTCAAGAAGTAGACACGGGCAGGGAAATTCCTAGCTAGGTTCTTCGTCTCAGTGCTCTCTCGGCGGCCAGCTCGTCAAAGTACCAAACCCTGGCTTTCTACCCTGAACATTGGGTATCTTCTTCTGGCCCCTTGGGGGCAAGTGAGAGCACTAGATCGAATACACAGGATTGTCCATGTTTTTTACCTTAGCTCTACTTAGACTACTTCTCGATTTTTCCTTTTTACGATTGTTTGCTTCCAAAGGCTTACGCGGGACAGCAGTTCCATTCATCATCATAAAAGAGGAACGAAGATTCCCGATTGGGTTCTTGGATTGGGAGGCCTTGCCGCATGCTTCGTTTCCATTATCGCAATTATTGTCATAATTTCTTCCTTCACCATCAGAAAGATGGACAGATACGAGAGAAGAGGAAATGGAGGCCAAACATATAGTAAGGTACCAAAACGGTTGTCACTTGCGGCACAAGAATTTGGTTCAGCTTCAAGGGTGGTGCTGTGAGGGACAAGGGTAGCAATCCTTTATTTCCGGAAAAGACCCGTATGCCCACAGATCAACGAACCGGAGGGAGCAAAGCACCACAGCGGATATGGAATTCAATTTCCACTTTCAGTTTCACCTCGCGACTCGGGATACGTGCAAGGAGAGCCAGGGAAGGGGCAAGGGGTTCACCCACTTTCACGAGTTTCATAGGTTCAAGAGATCCCACTATAGAAGTGTCTAGCCGTTCGCCGAAGGAAGGGATTCTTTATCAAAGTCTCCGAAAGGCGCACTTAACCTCATTCGATGATGGGGTTGGGGCAATTGACCGATCCTAAGCTAAATCTAGCTCTGATGGTGTGTCCGCGGGTCCCTTCCTCTCAACGTCTGAAAGAACACTCTAATGGCAAGTCGGGCTAATTCTAATATAGGGATAGAAAAGGAATTGGCAAGGGCAAGGTCCGATCGGAAATAGGATAAATAATGGAAAAAGTCCCTCTCCGATAATAGGACTTGAAGGCTTTAGCTATGCGAGCCTGCCACTACGCTCCTTTGTTACAGAATTAATGGTCAGAAACTTGCCTTACTTAATCTCTTTCGAGATAAAGGTTCTTACAGAGGTGAAGGCACCCATCTCACATAAAATAGTTAGAAAGCTCGCGCTCCATTAAGTGTATAGATTGAGATCCAGTAGAAGTGGGAGTGCCGCAAGGCTCTTGAGTTAAATGATGCTCAGGATTGAGGAAGTGGTCTTATTGGCATTCGGAATGGAGTCTGTCCCGAAGGAATCTCATCTCTCTTCCAATAGAACAGGAAGTCTCAAGCCAGTAGCACGATAGCAGTCCATTCAATCCATTCAGTCAAGCCTTTCCAGGTCATCTTGAAAAAGGATGGATAAACTTTATCGAAAAAGGTTAGGAAAGCAGGTGCTCTTATTGGACGTCACGGGAGAAATCCCGATGGCTGAGAGGGTCATACCCTTCCGAGCTGTGGAGCGTACCAACTTCACTTTGATTAACATCGAGTTGTATGTTTCGCTGCTGTCTAATGAGGCGCAGCATCGGTCTGGACTCTGGACGGTCTGTCCAAGGGACTGGAACCCAAGGCTCTTCTTAGTCTAACATGATTGTTGTAACCTCGGCGGGTTGCTCATTGGATTTTGATGGAATTCAGTGACAGTCCACTCCTTAGGTCCAAGGTGCCTTCCAATGGCAATGAGGGTTCTCATCTAGGGGAGTTCACAGTGGTGAGCTCAGTTATAGAAGGAGAGGTCGACCAGGCGTTGGCGGGGAGGATTGCAACTGGGTTGATCAGCCGGTATTGGGGGCGGGGGAAACTGACCCGGGCTCCATTTCTTAAGACCTTCCGTCTTTCTCCTAAGGGCCC